GCTCCGCTCAGGTCTTAATGGCGGCTGCTTCATCCTCATGGGGAGGATCCAATATGGGGGCTGGGCAGGGTGGAGATTGCTCGGGCCCTGGGCATCCTGTGCCTCCAGCGCTCACTCCTCAGCGAGGGCGGCACTGTCGCACTCCAGGGTGTGGCAGGTTCTTTCAGGAACTCAACCACCGACATTGCTGCTCTACATGTCCGTATGGTTTTCACTCGCGCAGATGCAATGCACAACAACGTCGGTTACAGAGGACTGCTGTCACCCGCTGTGAGCAACCAGGGTGTGGGAGGCATGCAGGGTTTGCACACTCCACATGTTGCTCTACATGCAGGCCTAGCCAAGGACGCTCTCACACCTTCAGCTGTACTGTGCGTCAGCAAGAATACTCTCGAGCAACCGCGGTTCCTGCTCACAACGAGGGCCCCGCTGGGACTACAAGCTCTGGCTGGAGCACCCATGCTGCTGATGCCTCAGGTGAGACTGCCTGTGGTGGGAATGCCTCTGGAGCGAGAACGTACACCACAACGACGGTTTCGGGCAATACCTGCACCGTCGTCGAGATTGTTAGCTCAAGCTCGGAAGGCGAGGCTAGCTCTCGTGATGGCAATCCTGCTGCTACTGAGGGAGGCAGGCAAGTGAATGGTCGTTTTTCCGGTGATCTTTCGGAGATGGACTGAGCAGCCGACGTCGAGATGGAAATATGAAATATGATTAGGAAGTAGCCTCTGCTTAAAAGGTTGTGTGAAATCGCACAGCTGCCACAGAGCAGCCGGACCAGAAGGTCTGACCTCCTTCGTCATGCACTCGGACAGTGCGACGCTCATGAATGAATACTACTACTCCTCCTACTCCTGCGGCTGCTGCTGCGGCCGCCGCCGCCGCTGCTGCTGCTGCTTTACTGCTTGTACTTCTATGCTGACTGCTACGACCACTACTACCTACTAACATCGATACCCAAAACTGAGCGGAGCCTCAACATATGGTTGTATTGTCACTTTATGTCGTTATAGTCCTTTTGTAATTACTTGCAGTGTTGGCTAAGCCGTAGTCTGATCCCGCCGGCCCCACGGCCCGCGCAGGGTCGGAAACGCGTCCTCTTCCGATTTGGCAAGACCAGAAACGCAATCCTTCAATCAAACGTCTGGGCGCTTGAGGTTAAGACAGTGATAGTGCATATGATGCCCATCCCTGCCAACAAATCGCGATGCAATACGATAACGGAGATATCGCAAAAAACACCCCCTAACGCCTGGGCCCCCCATGTCCGGCAGACGAGCTGCTGGTACAGACCGTGCAGGTTGAGCGATGCTATTTCGCCATAAGACGACAAGATGTCATTGGCCTTGATGATGGCCATGGACTTGGCAACCTCTCTCGAGAACCCACCCAACCCAAAACCCTGAACATTCGCGAACTCGAGCTGACTGTATTCCCGATCCCCTCAGCCAGCGAACCCAATGACGGGCTACCTGCGCAGTGCTGGCGGTTATTCAGACCCCGGAATACAAATTTTTGGAACCCTATTGAAAGTGGAAACAACAACGAAACCTCCGGTTCCAGGTAGATCCGCACAAGCTGGTAGCCCTGCGCATCCGCAACCTCTCGAAGGTGTGAAAGGGAGTGCTTCGATTCTTACGCTCTTCACTATAGGGAGCCCTGACGGGTTTCAGGCCATGGGGGTTTAGGGTTCAGGGGTTTGCCCGGAGGATGCGGTGGTTCCTCCGAAGTTTAGACTGGACGTGGGGTTGCAGATAGGGTAACTTTAACAAAAGGCTTCCTCAAAAGATCCAGCAAGGTCTTTGTTGGATTTTTCTGTGGATAGGGGTCACGCTTCAAGCTCTGGGAAGTTGTCCAACAAAACAGCAACTTCCAACAGGCTTCAGAAGAACCTTGACTACGCGGGAACAGGAAATACAACCTCGCTCTATCGACACCCCGTGGTTTGAAACCCTATACCCGATACCCACCCCTAATCCCTAAACCCGAAACCCTAAGCTCTAAACCCTAGACTGGCTTGTACCCCAAACTTTCAACCCTCAACACAAGACGCAGGAAGCGAAACCTGCCAGAACAGAGACCCATAGGCGAAACCTGGGAGTACTGGGCTTGCTGGTCCCCATTCGTAAGTTAAGGCCCCTTCCCGGTTTAGGGTTTAGGGTTTAGGGTCAACGCTGATCGGATATGGTTGCTGCACAGGACCCTTTTACCTGGAGCCGATTCCTATTATTCAGGCCCGTAAATAACCCGCTTGCAAGTTCAGGCTGAAGCCTAAACGCTCTCTTCTCAACGGAGTGCAGGGTTTCGGGGTTACGGTTGATGGTCGCGTTGCGGCTTTAGGGGTCCGGTTGCAGAAGTGAAGCTATCATAATGTAGGGGCGTGCTTAAGTTGGGGGTGGTTCCAGACCCTAAGCCCTAAACCCTTAACTCTGGGGCAGGACTTTGTCAAACAAGGCACATGGGTAAACTAAAACAGCTGAGCCCGGCACTGAACTGCCAGATGCTTGGCGTGAACCGTTTATGTTACTGTTATAGTTGCTATTATCATTATGAACATCGTTATCATTATCATCATTATTACCCTTAGTATCATTAGTATCAGTTTATCATTACTATCACTGTAATCAATATTATCAATATCAAACATGTCATTCTTACCATCAATACCATCATCACTGCTGCTACTAATGTTGTTAACTCAAGAATCTCAAGCATCCATACCGAAGCCTCGAACTGGAAGTAAACTGCATGCCAATCAGATTGCATCTCCGCTTGCATTCGGTGCGGGAATACGCAAACACAGGAATTGGCATACTGACGAGCTCAATCTGTCATCGACATCATCATCAACAACACAACCCTCGTTAGAACAGACATTGTTACGGTCACCTTCGGATGGCTATGACAAACTATTTTCTTGCCGTCCAGGTCTCAGCCGATAGCCGGGCTTTGCGAAACACCTCTACGAGAACAGCTCTCCTGCACCCTAGACCCTACACCCTAAACCCTGAACCCTAAACCCTAAATCCCTACACCCTAAAAAGCAGCTTCAGGAGCCCGCCTGAACTTGCATTGGCTGTGTCAGCTCCGGAACGCAGGGAAGGCGACCGCTGGAGCTAGTCATGCGCCCTGTGCCTTGCCGTACTGCCGGCGTGCAGCATGGCTCGCAGTCACAAGCAGGCCTGTGACTCTAAAGGAGCTGTACATGACAAGGCCTGTGATCGGCTAGCAAGTGGCGACTGGCGAAGCTATCAACAGCACAAATAATGAAACGAGTAGTAACGAGAACACAAAAGGAGTGGCAAGAGTCCTCGTCGCCGCAGCAGTGGCGGATGTTGTGGTAGAGGTAGTGAGGCTAGTAGTCTATGAAAAATGGAAGGCTAAAGCGCTGGGAATGGCACATGGAAGGAAGTGCAGTCTGCGCTTCAGTAGACGCGATGTGCTGCGCAATGCCATGGAACCTATTCTGTGCTCGGACATGCTCTGGACCCAGCATTTGAGCAGGCTGAAAAGCAAACGGCCGTCACGATGGATTGGCGTTGTTTACGGCTCGGGAGGGGCTTTCATTCAGGGCTGTCGGTCAACATGCAGTTGTGTTTCGTCCTCTGTGCTTCTACGCCTGCACCTGCAGCTCTCCAATCCAGGACGAGGAACCACTTCTGCGCGTCGTATCGCTCTGTAGTATCACGCCAACAACATCATCAGGCTGTTGAATTTTGATATGTCTCAATGGCTCGGCGTTGTTGCATGGACCAAAAGACTAGGGCATGTGGGTTGCGGGTGGTGACGACAAACTTCTCGAAGCTTGGGTAGAGGCCGTCCGATGCCTGCAATCTCCCGAGCCCTCCCTCCCTGCAAGCGCGCCAAGAATCTACAAAAACCGGTGCCTTTGCCAACAGCTTCGACTCAGGATTCTTGAGGCGGTCGAAGCATCGATTGATGGCTTGTACCTGGCGGCTTTGGCCTTGATCAACTCTCGCCCTCGCTGAGCTATCCGGGCGTTGACACTTATCTTGCTGGTGTTGTTGCTGGTGGCGTTGACGATGGAAGAGGTAATTATGTCGTTGCAGCTGCTGCTGTTGCTGTTGATGATTATGTTGATGCTGATGCTGCTGATGATGATGATGATGATGCTGCTGCTGCTGCTGGCACTGGTCCTACTCTGACTGTACTGTTGCTGATGCGAGTCTGCTCCCGGTTAGTAGTAAGCCTCCAAAACGTTGATCGTATTCTGGCCAATTGAATATGTCTGGTCGTGCCTATGCCTGTTTGACTGTCGCCTTTGTCGGCGAATAGTGGCCACTCCTGTCTATCTGAAACTCACGATTCACCTTTTCCTGGTTGCTGCGGCTGCTGCTGCCGCAGCTCTTCCCGAACTTGCTGCTTCTCACTGATCGTCCCTCCTTGCAGTTGCTTTTCTGCCCTGCATCTAGGAAGCGGCCATGTCTGCGTTAAGGCTAGAAGCCGGCAGAGGGCCGGAGGCAGCACCCGGATACGGCAAAGGACACACCTTTGGAGTAGGCACGGGTACCGGAGAAGGGCCCGGGGCTTGATCAGAAACCGGTGCCTTCCTCGCGGGGGGCTCCTTAGGGCCCGCTGCGCAGAACCAGAGGCGGAGGCGGAGGATGGGACACGGTGACCGGCTCGGTGGTACTTGGGGGTGTCGCCCCGTCGTACCAGCCGAGCCGGCCCATGGCAGTGGCACTACACTCCACAGTGAGCTTTATAAGCTCTGCCGTCGTCAAATGCGTCAAGGCGGCCTGCTCATACCATGCCAGCCCAACCCTCGTACACATGCCCTTTTTTGCAGCAGGCTTGTTTTTCGAGAGCCCTCTGCCCCGAACATGTGCCCAGGCAGAGACGAACACTCGAAACCCCTGAAACTCAACACACCCTGAACCCTGAATCCGAAACACTGGACCATAGAGACCCCACACCCAAGTGCTAGCCCTAAGCCTTCGGCGGGGCACATGCTCCTCAGACAGGAGCAAGCCTTGAACGACGCCGCGCACTAAGCTGTGTCTAGGATTCTTGAACTCACGGAGATTATTGCCACGCACCCTCAGCAAAGTTTTAGGGTTTTCGTGGAGGGGTAGGAGCAAACCGCTTCGCGAATACAGTGGGGTCAACCCCTTGACAACCACAGCACTGGTTAAAGAGCTATCAATTTGAAAGAAAGTCAGTCCGCATGTTTTCGCTGATAGGTCAACTAGTCATTCAAACGGTACCCGAAGTCTTCGTGTCGTACTGTGAAGTGATACTGCCCGAAAACGGTGTAACGGGAATCGGCAATGCCTTGTCCAGCACATCTTCATGAGCACTACCAGTGAAGCAGCAACCGCACAGCAAACCCTTCAGCCTACCTCGACTAAACTGAAAACGCCCCCACGGCCGGTGCCTGATTTTAGACGCTCCAGGTACTGCGCTGCCTCCGACAGGAAGCCCCATTCCTTCGAGTCGGAAGCAGCTTAAGGTTTTTGTTTAGGAGATCCTTTGGTTTGGGGGGGTGGAGAGTAATTACGGGGGTTTCAGCACTCACAACTGGGACAAGCCGGGCGAGGGGCGGTTGGGGTTTAGGCCAGCTTCAGGCTCAAGCAGAGGATTTTGGACGAAGGCACACGCAGGGCAAGGGCTTGGTTGAATTCACGTCAGGGCCGTCAGGGTTTCGGGTTCAGGTGTTGGGTGTGAATCTTGCAGGCAGAGAATCCTTGACCCCCTGTAGCTCCTTAGGGCCGCTACTTTCTTTGTTGGCCTAGATTGGGAGTACAAGATAGATCATCTGGGTTCTTGTTAAGGGATTTAATTCAAGTTACCATAATAAGGAAACCATATTATTTACTATAGATCCCTATTATGGTAACTTAAATTAAATCCCTTAACAAGCAACCAGTCATTGTTTCGTACATTTCGAGGCCCCAAAAGACCAGCATCTTCCTAGTCCTTCACTTAGGGTTTAGGGTTTAGGGTTTAGGGTTTAGGGTTTAGGGTTTAGGGTTTAGGGTTTAGGGTACTCCCAAGACGAAGACCAGCTTCGAAAAGACGTTCACCTGCCCACCCAAACCCCGCAAACCCACGAAACATTACAATTAATAAAACAAGTATACTATACAGTATATTATTATAGTGCCACAATGTGTAATTCGTATGATGGTTCTGATGTTTTTGCATTAGAATATGTAGTTTTCATGATGCCTACAACAACATGGTGTTTTGATATAAAATTATATAATATGAGCTTATAAGCACGTGAGTTCGCCAGGCCCATCGGGCTGCCAAGCATTGACAGAGCCCAACCCACCAGGACTCCTTGCAGCTGCCTAGCAGCCTGGCCAAGGATACAAGAACTAACAACCCCACAATAATAAAATCCGAAACCCGACTCCGGCCTAAACTCTAAATCCGAAACTCGGTTTAGGGTTCAGGGTTTCGGGGAAACCCTCATAGTTAGCCCGAAATCCCACCAGCCGCCCCCCCGGAATCTACCCGAAAGGACTCGAAGAAAAGGGCCCACCTCGCCACGAACTCCTGAGAGGCTCTGGGAGCTGGGAGTCGACATGCGTGTGACCCCGGTCTTGCTTGGGGTTTAGGGCTTAGGGCTTAGGGCTTTAGGGCTTTAGGGTTTAGGGTTTAGGGTTTCGGGTTTCGGGCCTATACTGCGTCTCAGGGGATCTTGGGGGCTTAGGGGCTTTTTGCTGCCTCCTGCGTGGCTGGGCGGATCACTGGGCTTTGGGGCGCCGAAGCTGCCGAAGACACGAGGGGAGGAGAGCCGATGCGCGACTTGGGGCTGGCGAACCCTAAACTGGGGGGTTTAGGGTTTAGGGTTTAGGGTTTTGGGTTCTTGCTGAGGAATATATTATGTTAAGTTACCACAATATACTTGTTTTAAGTGAACTCCTCTAATAAGAACCCAGAAACCCCAAACCCCAAATCGGGCGGCCTACCCCAAAGCAGGAACGGTCGGTTCCCAATAATGGGTGCAAATACAAATCCAAGCAAAGACAGACCCTAATCGCTCGAAGTCCATTGCTAACCGTGCCCACTATGATAGAGATGCCATAATTCGAACAGGGTGTTGGGGAACTGCAGCAGCCCACCACGAAGTACTGAGACACCTCTATCCGCGAACTGTATTAATGGTAGACTATAGCTATGTATGTGTACGATGGTAGAATACAGTATGTCCCACACCCTAGCGAGGCATAGTCCCCAAAGAGAGGAGTCCTGATCCCTCCAGCTGAAGCAGACCCACCTCGCCAGGGCTCAGCAGCTTAGGCTTTGCATTTGGGGCTCAGGGTTTAAACGGCTGTACAGGTTTTCTGGTTTCCGTGTCATGACGACACCACCTTTGCCAGCAGCGTTTCGGAAAAACTGCACTTAGTCATCTGAGCTCACATCTTACCACTGCTTTCTGCTAGGAACCGAACCCCACCCAGTCTACCGATGTGGAATAGGTTCACATCATAACTACAAATTTCCTGTCATTATCACAAAGTAGCTTAGGTCCCACCCCTCACTCTCTGTGTCCGAGGCCCAATCCTTCAACCCCTAAACCCCAAGTGCATCTGGACTCCTTGATGCCAGGAAACCCAACCCCCTAAAACCCCAAAACCCTAACACCCTACACCCCATAGGCCCCTAAACCCCAAACCCTCAACCTATCATACACTAAACCCTAAACCCTAAACCCTATACCCTAAACCCTAAACCCTACACCCGCCCTACCTTGTCGGTGTCCGTCACGTGTGTAATCTGCGCCATGAGCCCCGCGGCGGAGCTTCGGCGGCGCCCGCGACCACCCTTTCTGGGTCGAGGCTTCCTCGGAGAATCGTAGGCTTGGGCCTTATGGGCCTACCTTAAGAACCCAAAACCTACTTTTTTGTAGGGCCCCTATAAATCCCATATTAGGGTTTATGATCAGAACCTACAAAAAAGTGGGTTTTGGGTTCTTAAGGTAGGGGTCTCGATGGGTTTCGTATGCTTCTGAAATGCTTCGGGGCGTCGGCTTTCGAGGGTTTGGGAGGGTTCGGTGTTGCAGGATAAGGCATTTAGGAAAGTTCGGGGTTGTGGAGGGATCCGGGCTTCGGCGCAGACTTTGGGGTTTGGCTTTGGGATGTGGGGTTTTGGGGCCCCTGATAACCAACACCATAGTACAAGCCGTGGGGATAATATGACGAAGCGTCCCGAAATGCGGTTGGGCTAGTCAAAACAACCTCATGGCACTTGCACAGAGTGGTTGACCGATTCCATACCTGCTTCTCAACCTGTCTACGTCTCGGAGCCTTGCTATCCAGACTGGTTTAGCTGATCGAGTATTGTTTACGCCTAAGGTTTCGACTCACACACTCGCAACTGCAGGCATGGCAATAAGTGTCCACGCCTGAGGTTCAGGATTCACTACACCCTGAGCCTCAAAATATACCCGGAAACGGTCCAGGTCACAAGCCCTCCTTGTTGCAAGGGGTGCTCTGCGGCTCTTGCTCTTGTTGCACCTCTCCTTCCCAAAGGTCATCTCGGAGAAATCGGAACCCCTGAACCCCAAGAATCCTACTCGAGGGCTCATGGGCTACCTGTACATAGGTTGGTAGAATACTACAACTCAAGGCATGGCTACATATAGTATCTCTTAGTCTAGTTTATGAACCCTGAACAGACCCATAAGGCCGGTAAGTAAACTGTCAAGCCCACACCGACAAGCTCCATAAACCCTGCTGACACCTAAACCAAAAGCCCTCTAAAAGCCCCATGCCCTCAAACTTGGGCGTCTGCGGCTCCGGTGCCTTCGCCTCCTCAGCGACAGGTCCATAAGAAGCTCTTTATTCTCCCGGCCCCTGTAGCCTGACATTCTGTCCCACCTTTGCTTCTACCCTACCTGGACGACCTCGCACATCTCACAACACGAGCCGGGTTTGGATTTGTGAAGGTGTTGTTTCGGGAGATCCACTGGGACCGTGGACAAGGTCAGCCGGTCAGCCTGTACTGGTAGTGAACCACAAGACTAAGGCTTTTAGCCGGGGGATTTTAAAGTCTACACCGCAAACAACATGAAAATGCTGGATCTTTGAGACATTGGCAACGAGAAAAGCAGCTTAGATCTACTGAACGTTCTTGTTGCCCGTCTTACCAATTTGCTGAAAGCACGGTGGAGAATTGTCCGTTCATGAAACGTAAACTTGTGCAGTAAGCCTGGCACTTCACTTTTCTCGCGCACGCACGGTGGAAAAAAACATGGAAAAGCGGGCAGCAGCAAACAGCAGGGACGCTGATGAGCTCGGGGGTTCCCATGTTTGTGGCTTATATCGCCTACTTGTTTATGTGCGCCAGGACGTCTGCATGCCGTCATGCCTGTGGCTGTCTGTCTCTTGTCTCCGTCTGTATATACGAATGTATGTGTGTCTGTCTGTGTAGCTACGTTGGGTACCCCCTAGAAGCTTCCTTGAGCATCTGCCCGCCTGGGTGCATTGAAAGCACCACATCAGCTTCCTAACCGGGCCCTCTAGAGGGACCCGAAGCAATGCCAGGAGACGACGACAGAGAAAGAGCTTGAGACTCCTGAGACTTTGGTGGCAGGCGATAGAGAGAGGACAGCTTTCTTGAGACTCCTAAGTATCCTAGCTGTGGTTGGCGAAGTTCCCACAGGGGAACATGTTCACTTTGGGCTTCAAAATGGGTGACAATACTCGATAAACACCATGGGCACATGATATCCGGTGCTCTGCACCTGATGCTACACCTCCATAGATGTGGTTTTATTCCACATCTTGTTGTCTATCCGCTTCATCATGGCCTTCAGCTGCTTCTGCGGGCCACACTCGTAGAACTCCGAAATCCCGTCCTCACAAGACAAGAAGTTACGTCTCAACCGCCTATCTTCACCCCGTCCTCCTGCCTGGCTCGTTTACACTAGTATCACATGAGAATCAACCCTGACGATCACCGTCGTCTTCGTCAACACATGTCAAAAATAACGTACCTTTCAAACTCACATGCGTCGTGGATTCTCGCCCTGTCCGCGTCTTTCGCCACGAAGTTTACACATGCAAAAACCGTGTGGCTGTCAAAACTGCTACGGTCAGCAGCATCACCATCATCATCTCTTTGTCATGGTTATCAGCGGCTCGAATACCTGCGGCAGTCCGTAGTCGTGGTCGTCGCAACAGGGCAGCACTTGTTGTTGTTGCTCGTGGCGGTTTCGTTTCATCTCGCTGCAGGTGCAGTGGCAGCAGTCACCCCTGTAGCAGAAGCAGGACAAGCAACGGCAGAAGTTCTGGTCGCACTGCAGGGCTTCCTAAATCCAGACACCTTGATCATCTTCTGCATGGACGGCTCCCAGAGAACAGGGCTCGTCAGCTGCTTCTGCAGCAGCTCGAGAATAACCTGCAGGGTTCAGGACTTCGAGCTCCTCGAAGCACGACAAATGCCGAATACTCTCGTGTCTAGTGCTTGCTGACTTGGAATGGACGTCGCAGTACCTTCCATCACCAATGCGTAGGTGCGGCAGTTGAGACTTGACCGCTGTTGATCCTGGAATACCATCCACCGTTGGCCATCATAGTTGAAAACACTGGCATCATTACCATGTTATTTTTGGTAGCTGCTTTACGGTACATACGAGCACAATACTCTTTATCATAACTGCACAGCCGTGCAATTTGGACTTTGAAGTTTTCGGACTGCTTCAAGGTCTTCATACAAAGCCCCAGAACCTAAACCTCTCAAGCCCCCGCCCAAACTCCCCGACAGACAAAGGCTAGAGGGGAGGTTTTCACACGCGCTTATCGCCCTGTCAAGCCTACTGCAGACCCCTGGTTCATGTCATGAACGCCCCCCCCACCCCCCCCACATCAGACGAGATTATAACAAAAGATTACGGCCACTTAAAGAAGTGGAGTTTATCAAGATTCTACATTAACCCCACCTTCGGATCGGTACCCGCTGACAATGGCTGGCCGGTAACGTTCCTCGGCCATCCGAGGTTTAGGGCCCATGGGAAGGTTCAGACTAGAAGGTTGAGGGCTCAAGGGAGTTGAAAGTGTTTTTGAAGTTTGGGGTGGGAAAGCATGCCTGAGAAGTAGGACATGGGGAGGGCTTTGGCGGCATTGGGCTTGTGCGACGAGGGGCATGGCTGTTCTGGGGGCCCACGGCCCCATGTGAGAATCTGGTGATCGCCAACCCTGTCCGGAAGTACGAGATCGCCATTAATATAGGGGCCAAAATCATCAGAATAGGGTTTTGAAGTTCTGGTGTACATGATAATTATGCCATAACTATTGCAAGCGTCTGCACTTGTAGAATTGCAAATTGGTCAGGCTCTTTATGTTACAAGGGTATCAATCCTCCATGGTCACCCTCAAGACCCTGCATCCCCCAGCCCTGCGACCCACGCCAAACCCTAAACCCTAAACCCCTCAAAGGCTTGCCGGAGGCTCATGTAAACATCGCAGCTGGGTGGGCTCATCTTTGGCAAGGCCTCTTTCAAGGCCTTCTCGAGCTTCTCCTGCTTTACGGCTTCATGTAGGGGCCTTAATAGTTAGAATAGGGTTTGGGGGCTCCTTTGTAGTATAATGAAATTAAAAGGAAGCCTCAGGGCCAGTATTCGTAATTACTTAGGCTCCTACATTACGGGATTTGGGGTTCTTAAGCCTGGCTTGGCTTAGTCCTCCGGGAGCTCAGGGAGCTGGGCTTCTGAGCTTGCGCTCCCAGGGGTTCCAGGCATCGGCCTCTTAGGGCTGATCAATTGAAATGCACGAAGCCCCTCGCAGGTCGGGGCGAAAAGACTCGGAAGAAGCCCTCCTTATAGCCTCGAAGACGTGACCCTCAACAGTCAAACCTTGATGTCATATACTATCTCGAATAAAGAAAACAGCACGAGTCATGCAAAACTGTCAGTGATATGCCTATGCATGGAATTACAGTCTAGCCCTATTCTGCTGCTACGAAACCCAACACCAGTCCAGAACGCCACCTCCGCCCTCAAAAAAAAGACTAAGCCGAAGAAGAAGAAGAAGAAGTGCTACCAAAGTCTCAACAGCAATCCGTGTCCTGGGCCGGCTGCATCAGAGAGGTGTGAAAGGCGCCTCCCGTCTTCAAAAGCTTCGCCTGATGCTTCCCAGACTTGCATCTCTGTCTACCTGTTTGCTTGTTTGTGTATTCGCCCACTTTATTTGCATGTTCTTGCAGGGTGTCTATGGGGCCCTGAGTTGTTGGGGTGGGGACTAGGCTATAAGTACGCTCCACTTGCGCCATAACTACGCTAGCACTATACCAAAACAGGAATTCTAACTACGTACACTCCAAAGTTCCTTTCTTGCAGCAGGCTGCTCTCGCCCAGAACTGCCGCCGAAGTTCCTAAACCCTAAACCCTAAAATCCAAAGACAATCGGAAACCCGGCAGGCCTGGAGCGCCCCCTTCTTCTCTGCGATGGCCTTGAGCTCGTTCACTGCCTTCATACTGGCTGCTGCACGGCAAGCACGACTATCATCACAGAGCTAGAGCATAGTTAGTCTGCTGAAGTTCAGTATAGCAAGATTCGGGCATTCTGGTATACCTACTTCCCTCAACTCCAGACTTCAGGCTCCTCAGAAATGCAGTCTAACACTAACGCCCATGCTGGCTTGGCGAGCGCCACGAAGAATACTCATCCTAGTACAACCACCACTCCCACCAGCATAACCTCTCGGACGCCTCTATGGCCTAATTCCCGGCCACGCCTTCTCCGTGCCGGCACAAGAGAAGCCCTTTGGGAAGAGTGCGTTGGCGATGCGACACACACCACCGGCTTCCTTCTTCTCAGCCTCCGCGCAGCATTGCTCCAAGACCTTCTGGTCCAAACCTGCCACAGAAAGCCTGGGAACGGTCTTTAGTTTGGGGTTTGGGTTTGAGGGTTTGGGGGTTCCGTTCTCGGGCTTGGAGTTGAGATACATCATTGGCTGATTGACTGGCTAGACACATAGAAGCTGCTGCCAGGAAGCATCGCCTGCTTTCCCACCATCGCGGCCTCCTGCATGGCTTCCCCACGCAGCTTCACCAATGTTAGGCCATCCTCGAAGCTGAGGACGCCGGCAGCACAGAGCGCCGTGTACTCGCCCAGAGACCTTCGACTCAGACGCTTCCGCTCTTGATCGATTCCGCACAGGGACTACATTCCACTTTCATGTAGAGGAATCCAAACCGCGCATACTATCACATAATGTGACATACCGACACTATAAATGCACATACATTTTATTACTGTACTCTTTCAGAATGCTATACGTTCTTCGGGCTCGGCGAGACTAGTCTTACATAAATCCTGTAGAAGGAAAGTACAGAAGCTCTTACTATATGTTTCTGCTATCATAAGACATGATCTGAACTTGAAGGGACAAGGAACAGGCCAGCCATGCAGCGCGGTCGCGAAGCGGCATCGGCATTCTGAGATTTGAGCTTGCAGATCCCGGCGAGGCCCCCCACGAACCTGCAGTTCTTCCCTTTCGGAAAAGGGGGGGATCCTTATCATAAGTATAGTATCATACACCCCCGAACCCTATCATAAGTATAGGATAATATACACCCAGACCCGATTCTACTAGTAAGAATTATAACCCCTAGCATACTCAGGCCGTGCCCTCGGGCTCAAGGTACTTTGCCTTGGCTTAAAGGACCCGGCCGATTATCGGAGCCGGACTTCGAGGCCCTGTCGGGCGTCCAAACTAAGGGCAGGTTTAGGGGTTCTTAGGGGTTTAAGCTGGGTTCTTGTTGAAGGATTCTTTTTAAGTTACCGTAATAAAGACACCATTTTTGTTGAGTATTCAGAGCTCGGAGAAAAGAATCTACCTCCAAGCCTCAACCCCTTACCTCAAAAGACCAGAAAGGCTCCAAGTGCGGGCCGAAGGAACATCGCAGGCTGGCAGTACCGGGTCTCTGCTAGCTTCTCCTCAGGACCCTCTAGGCACATCTTCAGGAGGTCGTAGCCGAGGATCTCGGTGGCTTTGGAAAGCATGTCCTTCACCTTCAAGGGCTCTGCGATCTTATTTCGACTAGGTCAGTCGCCCCAACTTCAGCCCCTATTGTTAGACCGGGCATCCGGTGCCAGAGGCACCCAAAGCCAGCAAGGAAACGGAGGCGCTGCGGAGCGAAGGCAAAACAGTTCTGCAACAGTCAAGGCAGCTTTTTCCCCTCCTACTTAGCAACAGTTAAGGCAGTCACAGGGCTTCGGGTCTTGAGTCTAGGACGGCTTTTTCTTACCAGTCTGACCTCTGGCACATCCTTGACGCCATCCAACATCTTCACATACTGCGAGCCCTGACCCGGAAAGATCAGCGCCACGGGCAACGTTGGCTTGCTGGCCTGCGCCTTCCCCAAGGGGGGGTAGTTCTAAACTAGGGTCCGAGTCCCTTCTATGGTCCTTTTATAAGGGTGCCGTACTACATTGGGGGACCTAAAAAGGACCCTAGTTGAGAGAACTACCCAAGGGCAAAAGAGATCAGTGCACGGTGTAGAAAACGGGGGCCTTAGCAATTAGCATAGGCTTTGAGGGGAAACCTACAGTCTGCTTGTAATGGAGACCATGTGGGAAGAATACATTTTGCTAGTCAAACTCTGAAGTGTTCACGATGGTTTTTTGGTCTCTCGATGCGAGCCGGGGGTTTAGACTCTCGCTACTCGGAATGCACGGGCGGTGTTTAGGCACAAACTTTCCGGGTATAGTGCAACCACATACACATTTCATCATCATGGAGGAAAGTTCCTCGCCCTTGAGGCTTGGGTCGTCTTGGGCTTGAAGCTCTGGGGATCTTAGTGTCTAGGGCAAACTTCAAGGATCAGGGTACCTCAGAACAAAAAAGGCCTCTTTGTGAAACTGCAGCTGCACTTATGACGTACAACCAGACTTTCTCAGCCGCTGATCCTAGACGCTAAATCCTAATACCTCTTCCCTAGAACCCAAACCCTTGATTGCAAACCCTAAACCCTGCTACACACTAAACCCTTTACCCAAACCCTTGTTTGCGACTGGATACCCTATCCCCTACACTCTCAACCCTTCCCCAAGCACTTGTTTGCAACTGGAAGCAATAAACCCGACACCCGAAACCCTTTACGCAAACCCTTGTTTGCAACTGGAAACCGCAAACCCTTTACGCCAACCCTTGTTTGCAGCTGGAAACCCTAAACCCTACACCGCCCTACACCCTACATTAGGGCCCTAAACTTTGTTGGGATAGGTGGCCTTCGCCTTGGGCTCAGCCTTTGCCTCGACCTTCGCCTCGGCCTTCGCCTTGGCCTTGGGCTCGGCCTTCGGCTCGGCCTCGCAGAGCTTTGAACGGGGTTTAGGATTTTGGGCGTAAGGTTTTTTGCCAGCACAATGACTCTGAGCTCCAAGCTTGGGCGTAAGGTTTGGGGCGCAGGATTTAGGGTTAAGTGGCACGTAGTTAGGGGCTTCGGAGCTCCTAGAAGGAAGAATGATATCCTCATGACGATGATGCACATGCCGACACAACAAGGACAGCAACGGAACCTGCCCTCTTACGATATGATAACCAGTACCCTCCTCTGCCTTGGGTGCCGCCAGCTCAGCCTTTTTCACAAGCTTCGGATCAGAATAGAGCTTCTGATTGTTCGCAATGCCATCCTCCTGCAGGGTTTTGGCTGATTCCAGGTCCTATCCGTGCGGCTAGTATTAAGCAGCAGTATGCTGAGTCACGTGTCATCAGTGGGTAGTATTTTACAACCAGAACGCCCTCACCGCGTACTTTGAACCGAGACCCCAAGTCGTCAATCCAAGACATTTATGCTCTCTGCGTCCACAGCTCCTGATTGGCTATGAAGCTTTCAAAACCTCCCTGCTAGTAGTCGAACTCTAAGCCCTCCATCCCAAGAGTTTGCAGAGTAGGTCCTCATACCACCCTCGGGGCATCTCCCCTTCGGCTTTCTTGAGCAAGGTGACGACCTCTCGGAGAAAGCACTCCGAGGACGTGGCTGGGTTTACAAAGCGTTTTTCGATGCATGGCCTTAGGCATCTGCAGGCTTGAATTTTGCGCCTCACATTGGCCCTGAAGCCGAAACGTCGCAAGTGCAGCCAGAGCCGTCTTTCCAAATTCAAAAAACCTAAATCAAAAACCCTTTTTCAGCAGGCTTGTAGGTTCTCGCCTGTACAAGCTGTTCATGTTCGCCAACAGGTGTAGACGCACTACTAAGCTCCATAACCGAGTCCGGTCAAACACCCTAAACCCTGAACCCCTAACAAGCTAAAGCTGCAACCTCTGAATCTGAAGCACAAGCCCAGGGTCTCGACACCCTAAGTGCACTCTAAACTCTAAACATGTCTCTGTCTACACCCCAAACCTCAAGCCCCATGACCGCAAACCCGAAACCCCAACCCAGTTCCCAACTTGCCAAAAGGCCTCGTCGTGCTTGAACTTTGCTGCCTTATCTTTCGCAGTATCGGCCTCCTTTGGATCCTTGCCTAGGCATCAGCAGGGGGAATTTGGAATGTCGTTTTTTTGTGGGCTCTTTTCCAACTGCACGGGTCTAACATTGTCAATTTCAGGGTTAGGCTTGAAGGCAGGATGATGTATTGCGATACCTCACAGGCACTATTTTGAAGCAGGACGACATGTGTTGCTGAAATGCTCCAGCATCCTCCTCTTCCTGTTACTGCTGCTACTCCTCTGCCTTCTCCTCCTCCTGTCCTCCCCCTACACAACTGCTACCACGGCCACTCCCACTTCCACTCCTACTGCTCCTCCTGCATGGAAATCATTAGCTTTTGGGCATGGATGCCATGTTCTCAAACGATTTGGATGAACATCAAGACCACCAAATTAGACAAACAAGTTTCTTTCTGATCGCTAGTTTCTGGTCACGAAAATCCAGACCTCAAAAAATAGCCAAAAAAACAAGAAAATCGCAAAGCCGAGAGCTGTAAATACCAGTAAGTTTGGCTGCAAGATTGAAGAACAAGCTTCAAAAATCTGTAAGAAAAAAACCACGCGCTTTCCAAAAGTTCAACAACGAGAACAAACAACGCTGTAAAAACATTATTTCTGACAACACGAATAAGTCTGCAAAAAGAAAGGTCTTGGCGTCGCGCAGGGGGGGAAATACTACTACTACTGCTGCTGCTGCTGCTGCTGCTGCTACTACTACTACTACGACGACGACGACTACTACTACTGCTACGACTGCTGCTAGTACTACTACGAGTACTAGTACGAGTACGAGTACGTGTACCTTTAACTCGAGTCAGACGCACTCGGACTATCCTGGGGTCCGCTTCTTTACTAAGCCCCCAGAAAAAATCCGACTACTTCGCTGCTATGTTTGGCTCTTTCGTAAAACTCCCCATTATCCGCAAACCCTAAACCCTTCGTTTCTGAAACTTCCCTAACTAACCCGAGCCTCAAACCTTGTTTTCTGAAACCTTCCCAACCGCCCAAACAAAGAGCCCCCCCTCCCTGCCCACAGTTCGCTCCTTCGGGCGCCACGCAGCGCACATGTGGGTCGGCCTGCGCTTCGAGGAGGAGCCTTGGATGAAGGGCTTTAATGCATTGGAATGGGCTTCCCTTTGAGGCTCCTTTACAGGCTCCAAACGTCGGCATTGATCATTAGAACTAAGTTCCTTTCAGGGTTCCTTACAATGTTCTATAAGGGCTACTATAAGCACTCTAGAGCACAGGGGTCTTAATAAGTTAATTAAATGGGGTTCCTTTTTGGTGTGCCTTCGAAGGGTTCTCAGGGTCTCCATTACAAATTTGGTGTATATTATAGTTTCAATACATAGGACGCTCCGAGGAATAGTACTACAAACTATTCAAAGCGGTCTCAAAACAATCCGACAATAGATCTCAGGGTTATCATAATCATGCCCAAAAGACTTCACGCACTTGGCATGCCCGGCCATGGCAGCCATGTGAAGCGCATTGACATCCGTGTAGTGCATGTTCACGTCACCATTGAAGATGTGGTCTTCGTCCCCCTTTCCACATGCGGCTGTGGGTTGAATGAAATGTAACGCATACTAGCGTAGACTATCATCTACTATAGTAGACGAATGGTACACTATACTGCAGTATACTACAATGTACTCTAAGACGATGTTGCAGGATAACAACATCATAAGCCCAGTGCAGTGTAACGGGGCCTTGCGCAGGAGCACTTCTAACTGCTCCAGGTCCCCTTGGTATGCGGCCATGCACAGAGTCTCCAGGTTGACGCCATTGTACTTCTGGTAGCGTGCAGGGTTGGGAATCGGATTCACGAAGCGGTCGACGGCCGCCATGCTGCAGCAAGGCTATCCATAAGCTTGGGCCGGAAAAAGAGCGGTTTCGCAGACCTCACTGTGATCAGGAAGATGTTATGTTGTGATCAACATGACCTCCATCCCCAACAAGTTGGAATTCGCTGCCTGCTGAGGCTCCGCAGGCCATCCTTTTGAACCTATAGCAGGCTACAGCACAATATCATACATTATAGCAGATATTGTAGTACACCGTCTAGTATACATTACAATATACATTACATGATCGTATATCGGGACGGTGGAAGTATGCCTGGCTTGGCTGGGAAGCCACAGGATGCTGCATTCCACATTCCCTGGAATTTTGGAGGACCCTCGGAACGGTTTAGGGACAGGCTTTAGCTTTAGGGCTTAAAGGGTTCAGGCTTTAGGCTATAGGGTTGAGGATTTAGGGTTTAGGTTTTAGGGTTGAGGATTTAGGGTTTAGGGGAGATCCCTGGAAGAACCCCGGGAAGACCGGACCCTCTCTGGGGCTTCGGCCGGTTCCGGGGGCTTCGGCAAGGAGGCCAGAGTCTGAGAGATCCAATTCTGCACCTTGTGGGCTTCCGGTTTTCCGGTTTAGGGTTCAGGTTAGGCCTTTATTAGTTTAGGGTTTAGGGTTTTTGGTTTAGGGTTTAGGGTTGAGGGTTTAGGGTATCAGTGTTTAAGAGCTTAGGGTGTATATAGGGCGTGGGGATCCGCGCTGAGCCCGAAAACAAGAGCCGCCTGGCCCTCTGCTCTCAAGACGGACAGAAGCAACCGCCCTTAGCATCCGCACCCCACTTCGCCAGCATCTCATGCTCAACCCTTTGTGAATGAGGTCTCTCTGAAGATGAGGCCCTAAACCCTGAACCCTTTTCAGCATGGGCCTGGATTGTGCGCCAGCGAACCCTCCTTAACAGCCTGAACCCTAAAACCTCAACCCTAAACCCTAAACCCTCAACCCTAAACAATAAACCAATGCTGAAGGCCTCTGGCGGACTGGTCCTGGATACTTCCCACTCGGGGCGGCTGCCTGAAGCAAAGGCTTTGGATCAGAACGCCTGGATGAAGCTGTGGTCGCATTAGGCTTTAGGAATAGAGCCGGAGCGTATTTGACGTTTGGGCTAGGACGGAAGGGTTTGGAGCGTGGATGTAGATCCTGTGGTTATTCTGCTTGGCTTTGCGCCGGGAAAGAGTTAGATCGGGGCTAGGTTCCGCGAACGTGCACGACTTGGACGGCATCGCAGATCGAGCCGTGGCACGCAAACACTCTGCACCTCTTCAGTTAGTTTGCTGTCGAGGCTTCGGGTTTTCTTTCAGCGGAAACATCCATCCACTTAGGCTCCAGCCGTATCCCTCCGTGACGCCCAGCATCCGCTTGAGATCGTTGATCCGCGCCACCATTGGCGGCAGCTCGGGATCCTCTCTAGGATGGGGTTTGGGGCCGATTGGGGCCCTTTCGGGTGACCCCCTGTTCTGGCTGCCAAGGTCTGAAGCTTGTCGGTGGAAGTCCACCCGCAAGCATCTGCCCTTACTAGCATCGTGCAACAGTGGATTAAAATCGGCGTGTACAGACGTCTTGTCCTGGGCACTTTGGAAACCCTTGATGCCACCGAGGCTTTCAACAGCCCCACCACCACCAACAACAACACCAACACCAACACCACCACCACCACCACCACCACCACCACCGCCACCGCCACCGCCACCGCCACCACCACCACCACGTCTAAAGTTACTACTAGGATCACGACTTCTGTTCTACCACCACTATGAACTCAACTACACCACCCCCACCCTGGCTATGGTGAACTCCGAGGCCTGTGTCCCAATGACAAGCCCAGCACAAGAAGGGAGATGCATAACATGAAAGGCAGAGGAGGCGTCAGGACAGCGATCAGAACATATGATGACAATTTCTGAGAGTTTCCCAATGCATGTCGCAGAACGCCGTTCTTTGATGAGGCAAACCCTGACTACCTGGTTTGCGGACAAGGTGCGGGGTGCTCGGATCAATCAAAAAAACAACGAGGGACACACCACACTTCAAATCTGCAAGATTCGACTCGTTAAAGCAAAGAGTCACGAACCCAAATAAACCCTAGATTCCTGAAGCCCCAAGGCAAGAACCCTGAACCCTGAACCCGAGTGCTTCGCTGGTCTGGGAAACATCATGGCCCCCAATTTTTTGAAGTCCTCTTCGAAGCTGCCAGGACCTGAGGCGTCGCATCTTTGCGGTTTGGCTTATAGTGGAGTTTCAAGCTAGTTTTCTTTGGGCTTCGCGGGGAGGTGTTGAGTTTTCTCCCTACGCCCAGCTGACCAAGTCGAATGTCGTCCGAACTGAAAAGTGAAATATGCAAGTGCGAACGCCCAGGCCAACCACACTCTCCGAAGCAGGCCCAAACCTAGATTCAGGGCCTAGGGTATCGGGGTTCACAGTTTTTTTCACACGGGGTTCTTAGTACAAGCTGTGCTGAGGTAGGGGGTTTGAGATTTGAGGCGCGCGATAGTTAGGCTTAAAGGCTTAGGGTTTATCGTTTCTTCTCCAAGCCCATAACGCGGGCTTTCGGTCGAGGGTATGGGGCTGAGGGTGTAGAGGTGTCAAGGTCTAGCTTCAGCACTAAATCGCCACAGCGCAATGCGCAGGTTCTCCCTACAAGAACTGCGCGAGGCAAGACTAGATGCGGATAAACACCTCTGTGCTGGGGCACGAGCACATATACCGCGTTCTCGACGCAGGGTCATACCTGTCTCATGTGTCACGCCTTTGGGAGTTGAGCATTGGGTGGAGGCTGCTACCGCCGATGGGGTTGGGCAAGTTTAGTCTGTGTAAAAACGAGTGGACTCTCTTTGCCATCGTTACCTGCAGGATGACCCCCTACTTTCAGTGCAACGCCCTTCCAACATATCGAGACTCAGGTGACCAGACTCTTCGAACACTCGCTTCTTGATGGTCTGTCTGGGCCACAAGTACCAGGTTACAGGTAAAATATCTAATACTAGATAAAATACCTATATTATATAAACGCTTAACTGTAAATGATGGTATACTACAGCATACTATAGACAGTTTAGGGCTTCGGGAATGTAGGTTTGTTTTCATTGGTTGGGCTTGACAGATGGACGACCCTAAACCCCAGAAGGGGTCCTAATCGAGAGAACCTTCCGTACGTCTGAGGCAGCGACAAGGCTTCGGAGATCAATCCTGCAAAGAGGACTACAGGCCTAAGCCCTAAAACCATAGTAAAACCCTTCTGGCATCCATGGTTAGGGGTTTAAACTTGAAACTCTGGGGTTGGGTCTGTCCACCTCAAGTCCCGAACTCCAAACACTCTCAGAGTTCCGTTTCCGGGACTTTAGGTTCTCTTGGCTCAGTGTAATGCTCGCTGGTTGGCAGGCAGGCTGCGTACTCAAACCCTGAAATCCCAAGGCCTTAAATCCCACAGCTCAGTGGCCAAGTGTCTCTCTTTCAATGCTCTTGGGTTTACATGGAGGCGGAAGTCAGGGCTCCTTTTTTTACACAGGCTTGATTGGAGCTCGCCCGGCCAATGTCCCTCGTAGCACATCGCACTCGTGGCGAGATGCCCAAGGCTAAGTACGCACAATCCTCATGATTTTACNNAATCTGTCGGATACGCTGTTGAAAGAGCCGACGAACTGAAGTCAGGGCTCCTAAACCCTAAACCCTAATGGCAACAGCAAGTTCCCTGTGCCTGTGGCGCCCGTCGAATCTTTCGAAGGCCTGACGGTTTCACTGTAAGGGACCAGCTATAACTGCTACTACTACTACTACTACTACTACTACTACTACTAGTACTACTACTACTACTACTACTACTACTACTACTAGCTACTACTTACTACTTACTACTACTACTACTACTACTACTACTACTACTACTACTACTACTGGTTCTTAAGGGGTTTAGCATAGAAGTTTAGAAGAACTCAACAACACTCAACCCTGAAGGCTTAACGCCGCCTACTACTTTGGGCTTAGGTGGTTAAGGATGTAGCGGCTCAGCTTTGATGTGGAGTTCGGGAATAATTTGCTAGAGGCTGCACGCTGGCCGCGGGAGCGTCCTGCTCCGGCCCCTGCAGTTAGACTACACAGCTATATAAGTATATAACTATATAACAGTATAAAGACATAGCATATACAGCTGTATAACTAAGAATAAGGGTGGCTGCGGGACCTAGCTCCAGATTGGGTTCTGCGAACTTACCGACTCTTCTCCAGCAAGGCTGAAGAAGAACACGTGCACGCGCATCGTTTATATATATATATATACCATTTTATTTCTTGACAAATGCTTGCATACCGCATGTGCATATGCATAAATCAGTGTGCATGTACACGTTGTAATGTGTGTGCCAAAGTCGCAGAGGCAGATGCTGATGAATTTGCGCAAAGACATAAACATGAGTGCCAGATGTGAACATAAGGACAAGCGGACGAAGGACAAGCAGATGCAGATATGGACATCAACTAGATTCCAGATAAATAGGTGGATACACGAATACAAAGACATAGCGCTGTATTTCCCCCGAACCCCAACCGTACTGTAGACAAACATCCACTGGGGCACCCGGCAGCTTGGCCAGAGAGCGCTGCGCCTGAGTCTTGAAAGCCAGGCGCCGCTCGCGCTCCTGGTGCTCCGGACGTGCTGCCAGCATTTGGACCGAAGCCCAAGAAAGTCCGCATTGCTAATGATTAGGCTGTCAAACCAAAAAACTGAACGATCATTCGGCACGAGGATTGGCGATACTGGGCTTTACAAAGGGGCTTCGGGGTTGTATGTGTTGGTCTCCGACGACTTGCCACATAGCGATACAGCTTGGTGTGGGGTTTAGGGCCTTGTCGTGTTCGGGCCAATATGCTGGCCTGTACGCTTCAAGGCGATGGTCTCGAAACTACAGGCTACGGTTTTGGCACTTTCAGCATGCTGGCTCCCTTCAGCAGGGCTCGACCTGAATCCTAAACCGACCAGACTGTTGCTTGACGTGAGACGCATGCACATGTTCAGCACAAGGTGTGTTTATGCGCACACAGTGTTGCAATCTGTGCAATCCATTCGGGCAAAATACTTCTCACTACGTCGCTTCATCCACAGACCTACCTACCTATGTGCCTGCCTACCTACCTACCTACCTATCTTCCTATGCACTTACATCCGAAAAACTCGACATGTATGTGTGTGTGTGTTTAAATAAATAAATAAATATATATATATATACACACATATACATATACACATATATACATACATACATACATACATACTTTCACTTTCCGCGTTGCAGAGATGTCTCGGCTACAGCGATGGAGGACAAGCTCTAAGAGCCCGGTTCAGCTGTGCAGTCACTGCACATCCTCCGCACCATCGAAAACTCTCGAGAGAAGAAAAGACGACTCCGCCCTCGGCACAAATGCCCACTGAAAGCAGGGCAGTCACATCGATCGTTGGTAAACAAGCAGATACACATCAGAGCAGTAGGGATTGAGGTCCTCGATCGGCTCCAAGCCGGTCCAGTCATCAGAAATGTAAACACGCTGGGGGCCTTCAAACAACAGCGATCGATAGTGACCTTGAGTCGGGGCGTCTCCTAAGTGAGCAACAGCAGCCTTGAGGTGATAGGTCTCGCTACGGGTATGCGTACAGTGAGCACTAACAAAGACGGGAAGTTGAACAGTATACTCGAAAGTCACAGCATAACGACGCTTAGTAGCAACACGATGTTGTTCATCATAGTCAAAACGACCTATCTGCAAAATTACCGCCGGAGGGGCGAGTAGGGCTGCATGGACCTGGTCCTGCCAACACCATTGATCAATCAAATGCTGAACCCTCACAGCACCACTGCCTAAAATGGCGTCAGATGGCGGCAGCAGGATCAGGGGGGCCGATTGGCCCTGGTCGACTACAATGGTCTCGTCCCCTTCGAGGCCTCTAGCCTGCCACGGAAGTTCCGTGGCTTCTTTGTTGAAAGAAGGCCGGGCGCCCAGATACAGCAGAAACTCAGCCGCATCATGTTGAAGCCCCGGAGATTCCCAACCCTGCATCTCGGACAGCCACTCGGCAATATCCCACAAGTGAATCAACCGACCTTGAGACCCCTTAAGAACCTGAGCAACCCTCTGAAGAGTGTCGGTGAAAACAGCATGACCCCGGGAAGCCAAGCTGCTGTCCAAATGCAAAAGCCCCGTCATGACAGCATTGGCATAACAAAAGTTTTGCCGGTTGCCGAGCCTCAGTTGCCAGACTTGGTCAGCGAGGAGATCTTCTGGGCCAGGGCGCTCATCTTCATGCGCTCGTGGCGAAGGTAGCACCCGCTGGCCGCCCATACGGAGGAACCGACCAATCGGTGAAGTCCAAGCCAGGTTGCCTGTGCCTCCTGTGTACGAAGGCCGATCTCCATGAACATGCTCACCACCGGAGACTCGTACTCCGCAGCCAAGGGACGGCTCGCATGGAACCTCTGCACCACCAGGGGCTGCGGCGCCGCAACGATGAGCTTGTCCAAGATGTCGTTCACCTCCTGCGGCGTCAGGACCGGGGCAGAGGTGTCGCGGACGTGGGTCTGCTGGGCCGGGTCCCACTTGATGCCGTAGATCTCCTCCCCCGTTGCAGATGTCCAGCCCAGACCTTCCGCTGTCGAACGGGAGGACGGGGTGCTCAGCATCTGGGAGAACTTGGCCTTGACAACACTCAAGAAGTGTTGATAAAGTACCACTCTCATCGGTGCCCGAAGTGCCTCGGGGTTCTCCTTCTTCGTGGTGTGCCAGGCTTGGCCGATCTTGTGCAGTTCTTGGGCCAAATTGCCTTGTGTGCGCGCCTGTATGAAGAGCATGAACCCGGAATCTTGTCGGAGAATCGTCTGTTGCGCTTCCTGCCGGAGCACCAACCTGGAGAGCATGTTGACAAGGGAGCGCATCTCCGTCAGCTCCTGGCCTGGGTCCTGACGCTGCTGTTGCCCTCGGCGGTGAGATTCCCGTGGCTGATCCGTCCTTGCATCCCTGTTGCTGGGCCAGGAGCCTCGGGAGGGTGAGGCCTGCTGGGCATTCGTCCGCTTCGGGCCGCGTCCTTTGCCGGGCTGCCCTCCCTTTTGGCTTGGCCTTTGCCACTTGGGACTTGGGAGGGTGGTCCACTTGAAGCTCCTCGTCGTCGTCCTCCACCAGAGCGTGGCTCCATTCCATGGCCCGGGGGTGCTGCGCTTGGTGGGTCATGGACTGGAGGAAGTTGAGCTCCTGAGTGGCCATCATGAGCTCTGTCGGCGTGTTCATCTCCTGTCGGTGGGCCATCAGGTCGCCGAACATGTTCACGAAGTGACTCCGGATGGTCACCAGTGAGGACGGCTTCTTTACCCCTGGCTAATCTACGGTGTAGATGGACACCATTGAAGATGCCTATGCAGGATCGGAGGTGGGCGTCCTTACGCTTAAAGGTCTGACCACAATATTGGCAGGGATTCGAGAGGCTCAGCTTGCTGTCTTTGATGTCCCGGATGCAGCGGTCAACCAAGGCTTTGCATTCAGGGTGCTTAGCCGCCATATGTCTACGAACATACTGAGGTGAAGTACTCCAGTGATGGCATTCAAGACAGTGATGGTGTTTGCTCTGAACTGCCGGAAGAAGGGCAAGATCTTGCCACCTACAATCCTTGGCACAAGTGAGAATCTCCGGCGAAGAGACGAGGGCCTCCGTAAGCAATGGCACAACTTCCGAGCTGGTTGCATTGTTCTGGTATATAGCTCGCAGAAACTCACAGCTGCGCGTGTTGACATGATAGTTGAAGGCATGCCAAGTGCTGAAAGCATGTAGGCAATGTTTGCATTGGGGCATGCCGTCTTTGGCGTGCGCCATCTCCGCCCCTTTAATAGCCTCTTGGGCCGCTGACTGTCGCTGCTGTTGCTGAACTTCGCTGAGGTGGTGACAAAAGACATGTCTGCGCAGGGAGGCTTGGGTGGAGAATTGCTGCCCACATTCTTCGCAACAAAAGATTTCGTGTAACACCTTGGTAACCTGGAGCAGGCTGGCTTTGGGAGGAGTCACAGTTGGGGCTTCAGGAGGCTCTGGGCTCCAGCAGCTAGCCGCGTCGAAAAGGTGCCCCCTCAGAATGCCACGCCATTGTAGCTGGGCCTCGCCTGGTGCGAGCGCAGCAGGGAGCGATGGATCCAAGGCTGCCCGTTGCTGTGGGGCCTGCTGCATCCTGGCCACCGGGTCCGGGAGGCCGAGGCGGCGTACAAAATCAGAGTTGGTCTCCTTAGTGAGCATGCTGTGGGATTTGGCGATCGATCTGGCCTGCTTGACGAGCTGAGATTGCATCGACTGAAACTCTTTAAGAGGGAGACCCGTGCAATCCAGCGAATGTAGCATTGCCGGCCAGATGCAGCCCTGCCAAAGCTGTAGTCTCAGTTTGAGCGGCACAGTCCGGTTGCGAAGAATAACCGAGAGCCTGGAGAAGGAATTCCTCGCTAGGGATAGCCGGTGCTTGAAGGTGTCCTGCTCAAACTTGCGGAATCCTATGACGGCCCCCAGGTAGACGTGTTGCGACACAATCTTCAGATAAAGGACCTTGTCGTCGACAATAAACCGAAAGTGTCGGCCCGTAGGCCTCTGCACCGTATAGCGGTCCAGGGCCTTGTGGGCTTGAGGTCCTTGCAGTTCAAGAACAATGACTGTCTTATCCTGACTGATGGTGAGGCCTTGCCTGAGCAGGTGCGTCAGAACATGTTTCATGGCTGCATAGGCCCGTTCCAGGTCCCCGCCACACAAGATGGTCCAGCCGAAGTGCAGGTCATCAGCGTAACTTGTGTTGGCACGGTGAATGTCCAGAATTTCAGGGTCATGCATTTGATGCAGCAGCCATCCACAGTACACCGCCCAAAGCAGCGGTGAGAGTCCACACCCTTGCCTTAGTCCACGTTTCAGTGGGACTTCTTGTGTGAGCCCGCAGTGCGAAATGCTAAGACGTGCGGTGTGATGTACCAGTAGGATGGCCTCGATGAGGGGCTGAGGCACCGCAGCGAACTGCAAGGCGGATTGGAGGGCCTCCCATGGGACATGGTCGTAGGCGCATGAAATGTCTAGGGAAAGATGGCATCCTCCGTAGAGCTTGGCGTTCGTGTGGCCATAGCGTTTGCCATGGATGTTGCAGACGTTGGCCTGTACCAGTCGCCGAACAGAGGCACAGTGTCCGATAACTCTTTCCAAGGCCTGGGCCAATGTCCGTCCCGCAACATAGGCGGGATCCGGGCCAGAAACACAAGGGCCGGGCCTTGCAGGCGTTTGGCAAGGACAGCTGCCAAGATTTTGGCTTGGGCAGGTAGTAGTGAGATGGGCCTCAGGTGTGCCGGAGTGCGCATGGGCTTGCCCGGCTTCGGCAGCAAGACAAGCTCGCTGGTACACCACGACCGGGGTAGGGACGAGCTGTCCTTGTGTAGGTGTCGGGCGAAGTGCAACTCGAGCTGGGGCGCAATGTCCTGGCGGAACCATTTCCACAAGGCCGCGGGCGCGCTGACACTGGGCATGGCCTTGGAGGGCTTGAAGCGTTCGAGGGCCTCCAGAATCTCCGCGGAGGTGATAAGGAGGTCCTGACTAAGGCGGGGCGGCGCGGTCTCAGGGCCCTCATAAAGTGCACGGAAGTACTTGATAATCTGATCGAACTCCGCCTCGTGGGTCTGCAGAGAGCCATCGGCTGCCCGAAGTTGTAGTCGACGTCGAGGGCACCTCGGGGCAAAGCGTTTGGCTGCCTGGTAGACGTTAGATGATTGTACCGCTTCGGCGACCTTGTGGGTCTTCCTGGCCCGGCATTGTTGTCGAAGGACATGTACCTGACGTTGGAGCTGGGCCGCAGTCGACCAAGCCTGTAAAAGGAGGTTGGGTGAAGGGCCGGCGCGCCTCCAGCGTCCGAGGAGTTGGCCCACTTTCTGAAGGGACGTGGCCCACATGTGCTGGACCTGTTTGGTGAGGGACATCGGCTCCAGCTGTGTGTCGGGGGGCAGCACAGAGCCTGGGTGGGTCCGGACCCGGGCATGTGCGTTGACTGCCTGTTGCCATCCTGCAAGAAGAACTTCATCCAGTGAGGCTTCCGGGACGGGCTGTGTGTGGCCTGCCTGGATCGGCGGGCAGAGGCCACTGTCCACTTGTGCCTGAAGGAGCTGCACGAAGGGGGGCTGCTTCAGTGCGTCCTGGACCGTACGGGGTAGAAGACGCTGCGGGCGGGGAAGTGGTGCCGGCCTCCCGGCAATGGCAGAGTGGTGCACAGAGGGAGGTGCCTGCAGCCGGTGCGTGGCACGAAGTCTGCCATGAAAGGTCGGGATTGCTTCGCTAGGGGGTCGACCTGCACAATCCTGCCAATCGCGAAGTCGATCTGAGAGCCGTGCTGGGTGGAGGCATTCGGCGGGACGTACGTTCTGGCCTTGACCCCTGCGCCTGACCATGAGTTGAGTGCACAAAGCTGCGCCCTCAGGATCTCTTGAAAGGCGCTCTGGTCCGGGTGGTGCGCCTGGTTCTGGACCACCCCCGTGCCACAGAGGGGCAACTCCGGGGTCACAGTGGAATTGAAGTCCCCCAACAGGAGGCATGTGCTTCTCTGGGGAATGCTACTGACCCACCTATCGATGGCTTGCCAGACCCTCCTGCGTTGCTTGGTCATAGCATCGGCCCGGTGTTTGCCTTGGAGTGCCATTTTGCCGGGATTCCAGGCCCACTGGTAAGTGCACAGGATGTGCATGGGCATGTCAAACAACAGACGCAGGTGGACTAAGCGACCAGGCTCAAGGACGTTGTACCGCAGATGGGAAGCGCAAACTGGACCTGATGAGACATAGAATGCCTGCTCTGTCTGGTCCTGAGCTATGAACAGCACACCACGTCTGAGCGCCTGGTTGGTCCAGAGAGGCTGTGAACTCCGAGTCCTCTCGCCAGGCCGTCTCCAGGAGGATGCAGATGTCCACGGGTCGGTTGGCCTCGTGTTCCTGCTGTAACCATACGAGAACTTCACGATAGCGGGTGTTGGGGAGGCCACCTGTATTCCAATTCACGATCCGAAGACGGGGTCGCTGCGATACTGGTGGTCTGGCCTGGTGCGCGGGCTTGGCTGCTGCTGCATCCGGGGTCGGCCGGGGACGCCGTAGTTGATCCAGCCGCAGGAGCCTGCCACGGTACCAGGTGGTGTGGGTGGGGCTTTGCTCAGCCCGAAAAATTGCTCGTCGGAGAGCCCGTTTCCGAATGGTTGACGGAGGTGCTTGTTGCAATACGGGCTGATGGCAAAATGCACTTGGCTTCGCGCCGGAATATACCGTTGAAGCTCGGTGTGAGGCTCCCGAGTCCCTGAAGTGCGCAGCGGACTCAACCCTCGCATCAACAGTGGAAACCAGCATCGGCAAAGAAAGGAAGAGCAGCAGACGACAAAGTCCCGTCGAAGCGCTGCTAGCTGTGGTTCCACTGCCCCGGGACTTGGGACCCGGGCGGCTGCTTGTAGTACAGGAAGATGGGTAGGACAGCGACCTGCCGGGTGTCATGGGCCGTAACTGTGTGAGAGAGGAGGAGGAAGAGGGCCCACTGTTAGCATGTGGGCTGGGGTGCGGACGCCGTAGAGGACGACACATAGCCAGCTGTATCAGCACCTGGGTGTACCTGATCAGGTCAGAGAGGGAGACCAGGAAAGCCATGATGTACGTGACGAATAAGAGTGCACACATACGAGCCGCCGGCCGCAAAGAAGAAGAGCTGCTTGTAGCGTACCTGGCCGGCGATGTCATAGGCATTGGCTGTATTGTAAGGAGTGCTGGGGTAGGTGGCAAGGCAAACCGCCGCATTGCTATACAAAGGCAAACGTCACCAGCCAGTATTTTCCCTCGAGGCCAAAGATGCGCGAGATCCGGTGCCCACGGGCGTGGCCCTTGGAACCATGGTTGAGTCCCTTTCAGAGGGGCATCTGAGCAGCCCTGAGTTTTGGAAGCTCGGGTGTGCCAGGCAGTCAGGCCAACGTACTCGCTGAAGCTAGTAGGGCAGACACCCTCCAAAGGTCCACCCAAAACTGTGAGAAGCCCTGGCCAGCGACATGCCAGCATGGACAGGAGCCTGTGCCTAGCCCTCTCACACTCAGTCGTCCCGAGGCCGCCTGTACTACAAGGTGGCTGGCAAGGACGGCGCCAGGAGTCACGATGTGTGCAATCAAGTGGGGGCCCCGACTTGCGACTCGCCTTCGGCTTTGCTGTTGGGGTAGAGCCCGAGGAAGGTGCCGTGGAGGACGAAGGCCTGGAAGTGCCGCTGCGTGGCCGAGCAGGGGGAAGATCAGGGAGCTCGCTGGACCACCCTATGATGCGCCGGTCGCCCTCGATGTTGCGGAGTATGTCCTGAAACTCATGTTCAACTTCGAGCCTGTGCAGTTCCGCCGGGGTCATGACCATCCTGCCTTCACGGGCCATGGTTTCCGTGATCTCCGCCGCTACCGCATTCGCAGTAAAAGGTTCCTCCGCTTCATCGCCGTCGTCGCCCTCGTCCGCAGCCTGTGGGTCATCCGGAGCTGGGCCCGCACCATGGTCTGCAGCCGCGACCTCGAGCGTGTTTGGGTGGAGTCCTTCGGCATGGGAGAGGTGGCTCACCGTGACACAGATGTTGTCCAGCTCCCTCCACCCCCAAAGAGAGGTGCGTGAGCACCCTGACCGGGGAGAGTCCCTCTGACTCCCAGAACCCCGCGATGCGACCTGAGAGCTGTTGACTCGGGACCCGCAACGCTTGAACGGGGCTGGGGACAGGTGGGCCCCAAGGGCCCGTCCTTTGGCCTCGCCCATCATCAGACCCTTCGACCAGAGTCTCCTCGAAGTCCGCCGAGTCAGGGGGCCAAGCATCGCCAGGATCGCGGTCAGGAGGCTCCAGTTCGGAGCTGGTGTCGTCTCGTCCAGCCATGTCGAGGCCGCGCACGCCGACGCGGAGAGGTCGGACTTCGCAGCGGCTATGAGCCCAGGCAAAGAGACCAGTTATGAAGTCCAACCCCCAACCGCAAGGTGACCCTATTGCATGCAAGACAACATGGAGGGGGCACTGCGATAGCATCTTGAAGACGAGCTGTAGCCTGCAGGCAAGCGCCGGTAAGCTGTTGACGCGGAGGGTCGGCCTGTCGCGTCGGGGCCGACGCCTGGAGCCGCGACCTCGGTGTCGAAGACGCCAAAGACGAAGTCGTTTCCCTGGGCAGCTGTCGGGCAGGGGAGCGAGCTGGGGTCGTGTAGCCCTACCTGCGTCAGTCCAGGCTGTGGAGGTCAATGTGGCCCAGGTTGAAGGGGTCGAGGTAGGAAGGCCATAGGGTGCTGTGCAGGCTCGGGTAGTAAAGAAGACACCATCGTTGCAGGGCCGACTCGTCTGGAGGATATACTGAAAGCCTGGCGGCGGTAAGCAGAGCGCATGGGTGGCCATCGATCCATCGGATGTCCCAGGCGTTAAAGTAATCCGGGTCAGACAGCCATCCTCGGGCTTCTTGGCACATACAGTGGCCGACGAATGTCCGTAGGTGCAGCCGCAGCTGCTGCCGCTGACAGAGCTCTCGGGAGTATTCACGTGCCGGCGATGCAGGGACCTTGTTGCGCCCGCGAGGCTCAGCCATGTTGAGATCCCACACAGTGCAGCGAGGGCCCACAAAAGGCGGAGGGCCCACCAGGGCATATAATATTTATACGTCAACGTCAAGTCGCAGGCAGTGCCGGAAAATGTTGGTTTTCCCACGAACACGGATGCCCTTGAACAATGTCGACGCAGGCTGCTACCCTACCGGGGGTCCCGGTTCAATCTGCAGCCGAGATGCTTATACATACATACATACATACATACATACATACATACATACATACATACATACATACATACATACATACATACATACATACACACATACGACATACAAACATCACGCGGATATGTGCAAAATGCCA